ATAGGAGGTAAAATAAAGAGATCACCATGACTTGGCTTGTATGGAACATAAGGGGTTTGAATAAGAGGTATAAGCAGAAGGAAGTAAAGAAAATTTTGAAAACCAAAAAAATAGGAATAACTGCTATCGTAGAAACAAGGGTTAAGGAGAATAAGTTTGAAATTATTAGTAAAAATATAGGTCCAGGATGGGATAGATTACATAATTATTCAGCTGCTAGTAATGGTCGAATATGGGTATTATGGGACACTATCAAATATCAGGTCACTAAGCTAGTAGAAGGTGACCAAATAATGCATTGTGAAGTAAGAGGGCTTGCCACATAGATTGATTGTATGATCACTATCATTTATGTGTTCAACACTATTGAGAAAAGAAGAGAGCTATGGGAAGATTTGAAAACACTAGCTCAAGGCATTACAAAACCTTGGCTAGTGATAGGGGACAAATGGGGTAGTATAGTAATGGAGTATGACCTACCAGGAATATCAGACTATGCTTCAATGTTACTAGCAGTGAAGATGATTAGCTGAGCATCAAAAGTCCATTTAGATTTTTCAATGTATGGACTGAACATAAAGATTTTGAACATATAATTGAAGACACTTGGAAGCAAATAAAAGACCCTTGGCTCATAAGGGGAGTACAGAAGAAATTGAAAGCACTCAGGCCCAGATTATAACTGCTGAACAATAGTGAATTCAGAAATGTAACACAGAAGATAGAAGATGCAAGAAATGAGCTTATGACAATCCAGAGCCAGCTGCAACAGAATTATAATGAGATCATGCAGGAGCTAGAAAGGAGTGCATTACAGAAACTAGAGAAATGGTCAATGGTTAAAGAAAGCATTATGAAGCAGAAAGTAAGAGCCAAATGGATACAACTGGGAGATGCAAATACAAAGCACTTTTCAGCTATAATGAAGAAAAGGAATCACAAGAAACAAATAAAAGAACTGACAACTTTGGAGGGATGGAAGATTAATCAGCCAAGAGAGATTAAAGAAGAGGCCATTAGGTTCTATAAGATCCTAATGGGAACAACTGCAAGAAGCCTTCCAGCAATAAATAGAATGGTAATAAAGAAGGGACCAACACTGAGTCAAGAACAAAGACAATTATTATGTGCAGAAGTCACAAAGCAAGAAGTATATGAGGCTAAAGGCATAGGGGATGACAAGGCCCCATGAATTGATGGGTACAATGCTGTGTTTTACAAAAATATATGGCACATTGTTGGTAAATAGGTGACTAAGGCAGTGAGGGAGTTCTTTTCAACAGGAAGATTGTATAGGGCCATTAATTGTACAGCCATTACTTTGATCCCCAAGACTGCTAATCCAACAATAATCAAAGAATACATGCCTATAACATGTTGCACAGTGCTATATAAACTAATCTCCAAGATCTTAGCAGCAAGATTACAAAAGGTAATTGATGGTATCATTTGTGAAGCACATGCCGGGTTTATTCCAGGAAGGAAAATTGGTGACAACATTATAATGGCTCATGAATTAATCAATGGCTATACGAGGAAGCATGTGACACCAAGATGTATGATAAAAATTGACCTGCAAAAGGCCTATGACTCAGTTGAATGGAGTTACTTGGAATAAAGTATGAATCTGCTGGGATTCCCTAAACAGTTTATAGTTTGGGTGATGGAATGTGCCAAAACTGTGAGTTACACTATTATGGTGAATGGAGAGCCAACAGATCCCTTCCATGCTGAAAAGGGACTTTGACAAGGAGACCTTGTATCTCCATTTCTATTTGCAATTGCAATGGAATATCTGAGTCGAATCCTAAAGGAGATGCCAGGGAAGAAACAATACCATTATCATCCTAGATGTGCAAAGCTGAAAATAACTCATCTATGTTTTGCAGATGATCTATTGATATTTTCCAAAGGTGATATTTCTTTAGTAACTGAAGTACTTAACAACTTCAATCAATTCTCAAAGGCTTCAGGTTTGCAAGCAAATCTAGGGAAGAGCTCCATTTATTTTGGAGGGGAAACACAACATGATCAGGAATTGATGCTAAGGCAATTGGGATTCACAAAAGGAGAGCTACCATTTAAGTATTTGGGAGTCCCTCTATCAACTAAGAAGGTGACAATAATGTAGTGGCAGCCTCTCATTGAGAAGATTGTGGCAATAATCACATTATGGACAGCAAAAAAACTGTCATATGTAGGGAGAAGTCAACTGATAAGTAGCGTATTGTTTGGTGTGCAATCCTACTGGGCTTAATTATTTATTCTACCAGCAAAGGTGATGAACTCAGTGGAAGGTTTTTGTAGGAGCTACCTATGAACATGCAATAATATCATAACAAAGAGAGCACTGATCAATTGGGAGAGAGTTTGCTTCCCTACAAGTAGTGGATGTTGGAATTTAATAAACTTAAGAGTCTGGAACAAGGCTGCTATTATAAAGTTATACTGGGATCTGGCAAGAAAAGAAGATAGGATATAGATAAGGTGGATATATGCATATTACATAAAGGGGTAGAAGTTGGAGTACTTAGCAGTGCCAAAACAAGCAAGCTGGATGGTGAGGAAAAATATAGAGACAAAGAACATTCTAGCACCAGAAAGTATAACTATCTGTAGAAACAAGAGCGTCATTAAGCAAATATATCTTCACTTGCTGGGGGACCAACCTAGAGTACCATGAAAATGTTTGATGTTTGGAATGATGGAAGACCAAAAGCAAGATTTACCCTCTGGTTATAAATGCAGAACAAATTACTAACAGCAGATCGATTGAGCAAATGGGGCATGAAGATTGAAACCAAGTGCAGTTTATGTCAGAAAGCGGAAAACACTAGAGATTATCTATTTGTAAATTGTGAGTATACGAAGGCAACAAGATTATGAGCTGGACACATAATCAAAGTACAGTAGCAAGGAATTGGGAGCAACATGTGCAGGAAGTGATCAAAAGAGCTAAAGACAAATCAAAGGAAGCTCAACTATTCAAGATGTTATATACATAAATAGTGCACTATATATGGATAGAGAGAAACTGAAGAATTTTTGAGAAGACAAGTGTGGGATGGGAGAGAATAGCAAAGGAGATAGCATATATTGTGTGCAAGCTCATTCTAGAATAGCTGAAATAGTTCATAGATATAGATTCTAAAATAGAAAACTAGGATGAGAAGGAGATTACTGTAAACATAATAGTTAGCTGAGTTAGCTAGTTATGGCTCTTTTGTACTGCTTATTACTGGTGATAATAAAAAGTTACCAAAAAAAAATTGATTATTTCGGACCACATGAAAAAAATGCTAAAAGATCAAATAATTGACCCGCACTTTGGTCATATCACCTGCGTCGTTGTCACATAAACATGATTTAAATCCGAATGCTAGATGTGTCAATTTAGATATTTTCATATTAAGCAAATTAAATAACTTTTCTTGTTACACGATTTTGACATCTTTATTATTTGGATGACGACATCTGGAAAATTCTAAGAGAATGCAACTATTATTAAAAAGAGCACTCAAAAGAAATAATATGATTAATCAATTTATGAATTTATTAGATTAATCAACTATAGTAAGACCTCTATAACAACATTCCTATATAACAACCATTCACTATAAAAGCCTAGTTTTTTTATGTTATATTTTACTTCCCTATTACAGCTTTCTACCCATAACAGCAACAAACATCTTTATGACAATACACTATTTGTAAATTTACTCCTCTGTAACAGCCATGTAGATTTTTTAAGATTGTTACTAATAATAATTCTAAATATCTTAATCAATTGGATATTCTTTTGCTGAAAGTTTGGATGCAAATCTTCGCCGATTCAAGCATTATACTACGAGACTGGAATCTACGAAACAAGCTACAATTACGGAGTTCTTCCATCAATCTTGAAAGATTTTATTGTGTACCCTAGAGTTTAAATGTTTGTACGTTTAGTTATGAATTTTTTTAATAACGTATTAGATTACTTTACCATTTAATTCGTGAAATATTCATATCTTTTGAGATTTGAATTAAATATCTTTTTACCTTTATATATAATATTAAAGAAGAAGAAAAATTAATTTTTGGATAAGTTTTGTCTATAACCGCTAAAATATATTCAAACGTCATGTTGTTATTGGTGTATAACAGTCATTCACTATAAAAATCAAATATTTTCGGAACAAACGATATTGTTATATAGAGGTTTGACTGTATTATTATATTGAAAGCAGGGGTAGAACTAGTGTGTTGGTTACGGATTTGGCCACTTTGGTCTAAATCTCATATTTCTTTAATAAAATTTATTGTATATGTATAAATTATTAATATAGAACTTAGTAATTCAGAATAGCAAACAGATAAGTAAGGAGTTCATAGTTCGGTTTGGGTTAATTTTTCCCTAACAAGAAATCAAACCAGTTAAGTCGTTTTTTCAAATATTTGAACAAAACCAAATTAATTAAGTCGACTTTTTATTGGTTTGATTTTTATCGGGTTTGACGCTCTTTTGGTTTATACGACTTTTATTTTTATTTTCTTTTTTCTTAAATATAAAATATACACGACCAAGCACATATTTCGGCAACTATATTATAATATAACACTATCAAATGAATTGATCTTTAAGAAAATATGTCATTTACTAAGATATCTTGATGATAGTTGAATTATATAGTGATAAATTTAAGGATTCAATATGAAATAGTTTCTTAGACTTAGCAAAATAAAAAACTACCAATCAAACTAGAATGTAAACGCAATAGATACTCTCTCTTTCTATATATATATATATAAGTTTTAAATAGATATTTATAATCGGTTTGGTTTGTTTTTTTCAATTAATTTTTACTTAAATTAAAACCAAATCAAATTTTATTAGTTTTTAAAATTCAAACTCAAAACCAAAATATTATCTGTTTTTTATTGATTTGATTTGTTTTCGGTTTGATTGGATTTTTCCGTTTTGTATGAAACCCTAGACATATGCTTCAATTACTTACTCATAAATTATTCATCGGATAATGACAGTTTTTTTTTCCACCCCAATGATTGACAGTTAAATACGTTAAAAATTCTCTCCTCCATTTCGGGAACTGCAAATGGCGTCTACTGCTAATCCTCAGTCGGTGTTCAATGTGTTCGTGTATGGCAGCCTATTAGCTGACGACGTCGTTCATGCACTCCTCAAACGCGTCCCTCCCTCTAATCCCGCTATTCTCCACAACTAGTCAGTCCTCTTTTCTTTTTCTATTTTAATTTCTCTCTGCAATGAATAGATAAAATGCTGTTATTATTACTCATTAGCCATCGATCTGTGTTTTACACTTTTACCTTTTTGATTTGTGGTTCCAATTGCCGTAAGAAGATGAAGCTTGAATATTTTTATGGGTATTGCGGATTGACACAATTATTTTAAGAAATAAAAAGTGAACATAGTAGAAATGCCCTAGATCCAATCTCATATTTGATGATTTGAACATATTTTTTTTGTTAATGTTATTTGATATAAAAATATATGGCATCTGATATTCTTTTATCATAGTTATTATTAATTGTTTAATTAACTTGATAAGGTCCTTTATTAAATTTTGAGACTTGACATTGTGATGGAGATCATGATAATGAGAGTGAAGTTTCTTATAATTTAATCTAAATTTGTTCTTGATCATAGGATTATTAATTTGGACATTAGTAAACCGGTTAGATCAATATTTATGTGATCGTCTTTATTGGATAAAGATCAGTTGATCTCATTAACTAAATCACATAGATAGATGATGCACATAGAGATATAATCATGGAACCGACTCATTGGATAATTCCTAATGGTTAGAATTACCATAAACTGTCAATGGGATATTCTCTTGAAGAATGTGATGTAAAAATTTCCTTTGACCCGAGATCATCATAGTAATTGACAAATTATTTATTGTGCTTTGATACTAGACACCTATGGCCCTAGGGCGATAGTTCAAAGGATATTGGGTATGATTAAATACTTGTAGAATTAGTGATTGATTAAGATGAAATCTGTCAACTCTTGGTAATGAGTTTAAGCTCCATGTTGTCATGAATTATAAACGACCAAACTAAGACCTTGGCCTGGGCAATTGAATGAAAGAAGAAATGAGTTTCTTAGGTCATTCAATGGTCGATTATATTTGACATGAACACATAGTTGGTCACCTATTTGGATTTGACAGTTGAACCATATCCTAGGGTGACCCAGAGCTATAAGGACAGAAGGAATTACTACATTATTCTTCTACTGGTTTTTGAGAGTAAATTGTATACTTCATTCTATCTGGTCGTTAAAGAGTGTTGCTAGATGCCACCCTTGATTAGTATATTGATATGATCAATTTACTACCGGTTTAGTATTGAACCTATGAGGTCACACACTAACAAGTGTTCTGATCGTTGCTAAAGGATTAATTAACTTATTATTTGATAATTGAATTAAAGAATTTAATTAGTCAAATAAATAAAGTTATTAGTCCAAATGAAATATTGTTATATTTTTTGCTAGCACAGAGGGTACAATTAATATTGTGAACGAATTGAAGTTTTCTATTTGGAATAGAAATTAAATTATATCTCTTGGTTGAAATATATATATGTGATATATATGATTAATATTTATATTTTATATAAGAGTAAAGACTTGTCAATTCCAATTTGAAATTGGTTAACTGAATGTCCATAATTGGATGAGTCGGCTACAAAAACCCATTGAGAATGGGATTTGTATTCTATAATAAAGTACTAATAAGGATTTTATAATCCAATTTGGTATTGGACTTCATGGTAAGTCCATTAAGATCGGCAGTAACAAATATCCATAGAAAAATTCCATAAAAGTTAATTTGTGGAATTAAAGCTTTTTACCCTAAGTAAATCATTACCTCAACCAAATAGGAAAAGGGTTTGTAGGTGATGCTATATAAAGGGTGATAGAGAGAATTTGCAAAAGTGTTTCTTATTCTTCTAATTGGAGTTGAGATTTTTGAGAAAAATTTCAGCACAAGTTTTTCAATCAATTTGTTCGCGTGTTTCATTATTCAAAGAGTTAATAGCAAGGGTCAGTCTCGGTGTGGATACGCATAGAGTCTTCGCATTATCGAAATTTTTTGAAACGAGACTCTCTCACAGGTACGTCTTAGATCCGACCTTTGACATGTAAATAAATTTTATACACGAACAGTTCTGCTTAGGATTGTTATTGTCTTCCGCTGCGTGTTACGAACACTTATACGCAATCCCACAAGCATAGTATTCGATGACTACACCTTAAATTCAAACTAGTTGAGGTCGTTGTATGTATTCTAATATCCATTCCCGCTCCATTTGGATATGTGTAATTCTAAAGAAAGGGCAACCCAATGCACGAAACATTATGCCTTCACACAGGCCCTGGGAAAGGCCGCACCCAAGGGGGTATGATGTAGGCAGTCTACCCTGATGCAATCATCAATAGCTAATTTCATGATCTATAATATCTTTAAGACAAATTAAGAGCTCTCTATGTTTTCTATTACGAAACTCCTTATTGAAAAAAAATCCTGCAAATACCAGATCTAATGTGTAGCAACACGACTAAGCAGGAAACTAAAGAGATGCTTGGTTATGAGATTTGTTTGGTTTTGGTTGTATGCATTCTCAAGTTGTATTTACCTGTTGATTATCCTCAAATTCCACTAGTAGGATTCTAACAAATGCTCGGCAATGGGGTTTCTTTTGCTGTTTTGCTTGTATCCAATGCCAATTTGTGTTTACTTGTTCTGTTTATTGTTTCTCTAAGTGACGGGGGGATAAACTCTTTTGGTATCTTGTTAGCGGTAACCAGTAACCACTGATTCTGTTATTTTGGTGCAGCCACAGGTTTAGCATCAAAGGGCGTGTTTATCCTGCCATTCTAGCGGTAGAAAACAAGAAAGTAACTGGGAAGGTTTGTTGAACCTTTCAATATTTCTTTTGTTTGTAGAGTTTCCTTTTTCTCTTTTTGGTGTATTATTATACAGCATTGACAGGAAGGTCTGTTGAACTGTCCGACTTTGTTATTTTAAAGCAGTTACAATGCCTGTGCTCTGTATCGTGTCATACTTACGAGCTGTTTTAGACATGATTACTGAATCACCAAAATTATTTCCACTACAAGTATCATAGCTGCAAATATTAATTCTAAACTGTTTCAGTTATCATTCTATTTTACTATTATTTTCTCTATTTAATAATTTTAGTTATTTCCTTCACTTTACTATACTTCTCCTAGGACTTTTTCGTTGTACCACTCTTGAGCTGTCAGGCATGACTTTCTGGTAACTCTTTTTTTTATTAAGGTTAGCAAGCTGATTATTATTGAGTTTGAAAGCAGATACGTTCCATAACTTATCGTAATCTGCGATAAGCATTACCTGTTTAACCACTAAGCTCGTGCTCCTAGTCAGTCATAAGATAGCTTATTCTCTAACTGATGATTTCAATGGTGAATGGAGGTGGAGGCACATCAAATATTTTTTATAATTAATACTAGAAGTGATAACAAACTACTAATGTAGTTCTTTGTCATTGAAATCTTATGAAAATTTTGGATCTATCCCTCAAATCTTCTAAATATGCTTTTTCTAATAAAACTGCAGGTTCTTTTGGATGTCACTGTTCCTGAATTAAATATCCTGGACATATTCGAGGACGTTGAGTATGAAAGGACGACTGTTGATGTTTCACTGATGGTATTGATACAGTAAAGTTTTTAAAAATTGTTGCATTACGAATATTCTTCTCATGGCTCAAGCATGATATTGAGCATGAATCGGATCATTCTGAGAGTTCAAATGTTCCTGTTTATTGGATCTACTGAACTATTAGAGGGAGATGGTTACTGCCTCGGACTTATTGAGGCAAAAGATAAATTACAAAGAGGATATCACTTTATTAAGTTTCCTTAGCGCAGTGTTTGTGAAGCACTGTAGTGAATTCTGCTCTCGCTAGAGTACTTGCATTTATACAGGTGTAACCTATATAATGCTTTGCTACTTAATTTAGAACTTTTATATCCTTCACCTTCCTCACGGTCAGAATTTAGTTTCAGGAGTGCTACTAAAAGGGGAGTTGAAACTTATGATCTTTCTAATAAAATTAGTCCACATTGATTTGTTAAGGACCGCTCTAGTTTGTATGGTTTTGGCATAAATTTAGTGAGACAATTCAGTTTATTTTCAAATTTGCAATTGTATTCGGTTTGTACAGTATGTCTTCACTTTGCAGGATAGTTCCAAGACATTGCAGGCTGAAACATATGTTTGGGTTGACAAGAGGGATCCAAATTTATACGGGGAATGGGACTTTGAGGTAAACGTGAGATCTTATATATCTGCGGCTCTCTTAATTGCTTGTTGGACAAAGATACGAAGAGGAAATATAATTTGTTCTCCACTCCTATCTTCCTCTCTTTTCATTTTGATTGGACTGTGCATTTAGAAAATGTGTCATGTTGCAAGAGTTTATCTGTTTTTTGGTTGCCTGATTTAAGTTCAAGATAGGTGGTGGAATTTGGTCGAAGATTAGAAGCATTATCAATATGTCTCAACCTGTCTGTAGACAAGGAACCTAACATGTCTCTGCATCTGTGTACAGTAGGATAGTCTGAGTTCTAGAACGACAATTGTTCTACTCAGTAACGGTAAGACTAGTGAAGCTTTGGTTCATTGAATCAAACCGAAAAGGAATCAACATGAAGGAAACTTAGGGAAAAGATGCTAGAGCGTTGCTATTCAGATGACGATTTTGAGCAAACTTGTGGTCTTATTACTTTGGGTATTGATAAAATCTAAAGAATCTTGAGACCTCTAAAGGTTGAATATCACGTCTTTGAGAAGTTTCTCCATTAAACTCCAAACACATTGGAAGTCGATTGCTAAAGTTGTTTTCCAACTTAAATTGATATTTGTTCTTCACATTTAACAATTAACTCCATCTTTTGTAGTTTAATAGAGAGAGATGCTGTAATATCCCTGATGTCAGGTTTAAAATATGAACAGAGTTCTTAATCGAACTTGGAAATATTCGTAGTTTTCTCCATCAAATGGAACAACTTCATAGTTGATTGTTGTGGAGTATGTCATAGCTTCAATGAGGGATCTTTTATTTTTATGTCACTTGAGTGAACAGAAACTGAGGATTCATGTAGCCTACCCCGGCGTCTTACAGCGTAGTTGTTGTTGCTGTTTAATGAATCGAAAGATTGAGTGATCGAACAATCTTTAGGGGCCCAAAGCTTAGGCTATTTGTTTAAGAGTCCTGGTTTGAAGCGGAGGCGGTGCTTGCTATTTATAAGCAAGAGCACCTCCACTAGAAGTAGTTTCTATCAAGTCGAAGTTGCTTCCTTTCTTAACTGAAGTTCTGTAGATGAAGCAAGGCTCTAATTTTTTCAGTTGGCTTATGGAAATGCTTTGTAGGAGTGGAAACAGTTGCACAAGGGAGACTTCTTGAAAATGACGATGGGGTTCAGTGAAGAACTGGAGCTACCAGAATCAAAAACCAGAGTGGCAACTTATGAATCGTTCTATGCACAAGAAGAGAACAAGTCCAAACCTTGATGAAGTTGAGTAAGTTATACCAATAAGGGCTCCTTTGGTACGAGGAATAAGGGATAATTAATCCCGGGATTAAATTTGAGATGAGTTTATCCCACGTTTGGTTGGGATAAAATCGTGGTATAACTAATCTGGGGATTAGTTATCCCGGAATTGTAGTGTTTTTTTTATCCCCATGGGAGGGTGGGATAACTAATCCCGGGATAGTTAATCATGGAATAACTTATTTCCCAACCAAACGACCCCTAAAAGAATAAAGAAGTCTCCCCTCCCCCTCCCCCCAGCCCCCAAAGGGGGTAATTGTGGTTATAAAGTATGGCTATTCAGTCTGCAATGCAGAAGTCTTCTCAATCTATATGTAGATAGACTTAAGTAAACCTCATGTAATATTTGCAGATGCTAGATAGTATTCAAAAGGGGTAACATATTTTTTGCTTGTACTCTTAACTAAAGCAGGCGTATGATTGAAAAACAGCATTTCCTGCCAATTACACAAACAGCTTCTTATACACCAGATCCTCTTCTTGTTAACTTTTCCCTCAAATGAAGTCCCTTCTCCAGATTTTGACGCTTTACTATGATGTGTTTCTAGCTTAAACTGAACTTTCAGTCCGCAAGTACTGTTTGGGGTCATTTGGTTGAAGAAATAATGATAACCATCCCGGGATAACAACAACAACACTACCGCCAACAACAACAATAACTACGCCTCAATCTCAAAGAAAACGTTCCTTATAATATGTCAGGTTTCTGATAAAGAAATTGAGCTGTTTGGAACACCTTGGTCTCTTTCAAATGGGAATCCAAGTACCCCAAAAATTCTGAGAAAACGCACAAGTTACTTTTAAGTTACTCCTATTAGATTAAAGAAGATACAAGCTTCACTATCTAAAAACCTTGGTTTAGTTTATGGGGATAGGAAAGTTATCTTGGGTTCAGTATGGTTTAAGTTTATAGGTTATCATCATCACATTTTATTCATATTTAGTAATATTAGCATAATCTGGATTTCCAATGGAAAATGTAGTGTGATATATAATTCTCTGTACTCTTGTTTCCCTGACTTTTCATTCCCTGTATTACAATCTATTCTTCACTATTTTAGGTATTTTAGATTTCTTTGTTCTTTCATAGGTATAGATGAATTGTGCTTCACGCATACAAGGGCGAAACCAGTGAAGTACCTACGAGCTCGGATGAACCTAATAACTTTTACTTTGATCATGTATTTATATTTAAAATTAAATATATAATTATAAACCCAGTAACTATAACGAGCTATGAATTCGATGGCAAATTAAGAACTCATAAACTTTAAAATTTGGTGTTGCCTTCTGTTATTACTTGATGCTGCCTTTGTTTCGGTTTTTTGATTGCATTATTTAGTGTTAGTTTTGTACTTTCGCTTCGGTTGTCAGATTGGTTTGCTTGTATTGCCCCTCCCCTTTTTCCTTCCCGATCCGAGGGTCTACCGGAAACAGCTTCTCTGACTTCTAAAGGCAGGGGTAAAGTGTGTGTACGCTCTACCTTCCCTATACCCTACGTGTGGGACTGCAGTGGATATGTTATTGTGGTATAAACTTTAAAATTTGACTCCGCATCCGCACACATAAATCAATAATTAGCTGGACTACTAGAATACATCAGTACATTTCGATCTGTCCAAGAAAAGTACACTTTGTTCTTGGAAAATCCAATACAAAGCAGCACTATATATTTAATGTGACATGTTACAAAGTAATTAATTTTAATTTATGTAAACCTATTTGATTGTGCACAATTTTTTTTGTAAAAAAGAAATTTTTGAATTTGTAGTATAAAATGAGGCATATATATTTTGTGTGACTATAAATCATTGCAGCGCACTAGAGTGAGACTAGCCAGTTAGGAATTAGTCTTAGGATGCTATTGATCAACTACTGATGATGGGCTTTATCTTCTGTGTATTAATACCTTACATCTTTCTCGTATTTCCTATATCTATTATATTGCTGTTACTTTGTTTTTTATGGTATTTATGTTATGTTATGGATTTTATGGTACTTTATGTTGTTTTATTATGAGTCTATTGATAGTACTAATATAGTGTCTCTTGTTGCCTCTTTGAGCCGAGGGTCTCCTGGAAACAGCCTCTCTGCCCCTCGGGGTAGAGGTAAGGTCTGCGTACATATTACCCTCCCCAGACCCCACTTGTGGGATTACACTGGGTTGTTGTTGTGACTATAAATCATTGCATAAAGGTAATTATTTTCAAATATGGAAATAAGGTTATTCTTTTTGACAGAGATTAAAAAAGAAATAGATTCTTATAAATTGAAATGGAGGAAATATATTTCCGTATTTATATTGGTTTGGTTCAAATTTCGTAATCATTTAACAATTTTTTTGGTTTTCGGTCCTAGTTGTGCGTACAAACGTGACTTTTAATTATAGAAAAAGCAATAACGAAAACATATATGGAAATTGAAACTTGGAATCAGCTTTAATTTCTAAAGTATTAAAAAAATTGCCTATCACAATATACTAACTTGCCACCTTTCTCACATAGCCCTTGTTCTCCAACAGAATCAACAACCTTCCCATATCCATACCTCAACGGCATCTTCCCCAATAGCCTATGGAATTCACCAATACATTCTCCTCTTCTCTTTCTATGCTCCCTTTTCCTACTACTCAACCCCACATCTCTTTCCTCCATTTCTCCACCTTCATTTCTTGCATCTCCCCAATCCCTCACTTTCTTCGCTCTCACTAAAATCGGCCCCTTTTTTACCTCCTCCGCTACCACAAAATTCATTAAAATATCCTCGCAATTATTCTTTTCTTCTACTTTTGCCCTCAACTTTTCGTATTCTTTACTGCATGTGTATTTGTGGAGGTATCGTGCTTTTAAAATCATGAATTTTGTTAACACGATGGAGTATTTGCTACTTTCCATTGTGTAGATCCATGATTTTTGGGTAAGGTCGTAGTTGTGGGATCTGACGAAGAACCCGATTAGTCGATCCGGGTCGGATCTCCAGATTTGGAAAGCGAAGTTTATTGATTCCGCGTCGGGTTCGATGTCGTCATCGCAGATGAGTACGGCGCGCGTGGTGATGGTTTTTTGAGGGTGGAATCGGAGGTTGAGACTGGAGGAGGGCTGACGGAGGATGGTGATTGGGGCGGCGGCGGATATGGACGAGAGGTTTTGGGAGAGTGATGTTAGGGTTTGTGAAGGAGTTAAGGGATTGCTCCAGAGGATGATGACGGCGGCGACGGAGGATGTGGCGGCGTAAGTGGCGGCGATTGAAGTGAGAAGTGGAATACGGTGCTCGGAGTAGCCGTTGATTAGTACCGTCATTTGGTCGGTTTGTAATGTTCGTTGGTCCGCCGGCGGACGGTTGCACGAGTCAGTGGAGTGGGGTCCAATTCGGAGTGAAAAGACATAAAAAGGCATCGATAAGAGTATAATTACATGGAAGGGATAGATGGGCGTTTGGTTCTTCATTTTCACAGAGGTGGTGCTGACAATATTGAGATTTAGGACAGATTTAAGGGCAATTTGATACTTTGTTGCTTACGCTAAGTGCACAGGTAGTGGACTAGTGGTAATCTTGTTATTTTTGGAGAATCCAAGGGGCACTGTTTCACCTGAAGAGTGAAGTGATGGAAGCTTTACTTGAAGAGCCCGTTTGAACATAAGAATTTTTTTCGAAATTAGTGTTTAGCCATAAATTTTTTAGTTTTCACTAGAAAATGAATTTTAAAATTTTTCGAAAATTTGAGAAACTCCTAAAAGATATTTTTCAAAACTTTTACTCGGATCACTTATAAAATTCAAACAACCCAAAATTATATTCATGTCCAAACACAACTCTAATTTTTACTTGAATTTTTTTTTTCACTTTTTTTGAAATTTCGTATGTAAAACGCCACTTAATGTGTTTAACTTTAAAATTGTAACACAAGGCATTGTCATTTTAAAATTATAGGTTTGGATCTATTATTTATTAAAATTTCTAAAGAACTTTTACATATATAATTATGGTTCGCATAAAAAATATTAGGAGGTCGGATGAACTCGATACCTAGGTGATGCATCTGCCTGGTAGCATGTTTGTTTATAACTAGAACCGAATTTAGCTTTCGATCATTTGGTTCAACAAAATTCATAATTTTAGATGCAAAATTTATGTGTAAAAATCTATTAACATTGTAACAAATTCGTAGATTTGAACTCATAATTTTAATATACGGAAAAGGGCCGGACATACCCCTCTATTATGACATATTGTTCAATATCGTCCCTCGTTACGTCCCTTAAAGCCCTTACCGTCCAACAAAGTTTTATATATGTCCTTATTTTAACGGCTAGGACACGTGACACACTTTGAGAAGACCAAGAATCACCTACACTAAATAAAACCAACCCGCCCCAATTCCACTACTCCGCCCGCCCGACTCATAAACCCGACCAACAAAGTAAATACACTAAAATCACCGTAAATAACACATAAACAAAAGATCAAAAACTGAGACAAAAAAAGACGAACGGGATGGGTTCCATCTAGGGTTTCCATCAGTGATAAAATTACGGATCTAAGATTCAAAAGGTGAGTTATTTCTTAAATTTTTTTATGATTCAGCTAAGTAAAGTGGTGTTTCTGCTAATTTTATTGAAGAATGTGTGATTTCTACCTAATGTTTCGAGCTAGGTTTTTTTTTCCGGAAATATGTGCATATTTCTGTTATTATACATGCTTCCTACTCTACAGTTTGTCGATTTAACTTTATTTTGTCGTGCGTGTGCATCTTTTGAGGTGGTCCTTTAATTTCTCATTTCTAATGGTCTATTATTGCTTTGAGTTGTGTCTTTTTGCTCGTGTATGATCGAATGGGGTCCAAATATACCTTATGCATGTGATTAAGTACATTGGAAAGTGGTAGCTATGCATTCTTTACTGTTTTTTTTCCTAATGTTCTGCTTTCTTTACTGTTTTCCCCATTCTTTATTGTTTGATTTCTAATTTCTTTATTAAGTGGGGTCCATTTTGTATAAAGTATTACTTTATGGTCATAAAGTTTTTTACATTGTCTTATTTATGTTTCTAGATGGTTCTGTTATAGGGTGACTGGATTAAAGAGTCACACTTAATCTATTCAAAGAAGTTGGTCCACATCTGGAAAGATAAAGATTCTGACTTATTGTCCTTTAAAGATACTAGTGTAGCACCCGCGCGATGCACAGATATTTTAAAAGAGTATTAGTCTTATGAAATTATAATATGATATATCATATTATTTTCATAAAATTTAGTTGCTATTTTTTTTTTGTAATGCAGTGTGCATAAAGTTTATTAACTTATCAATTGTCCTAATATCTTGTCACTATATTTCTTTTAATATAACATAGATAAGTATTTTCTTATTCTAAAAATATTTTTATTTTTCTAAACTTATGTTATACTGTTCAAAATTCTTTAATGTCTAAATTTATTAATAATTCTTTTGAGTATTATTTACGTACCTTTTGTTATATTTAATTGATTTGAAGTATAAACATGCTAATATTATTTTTATTCCCTCTTTTCGTACATTTTTTACTTTATGGTCATAAAGTTTTTTATATTGTCTTATTTATGTTTGTAGATGGTTCTTGTTGACCTAGTTTTCAATTATGGGGGTGACTAGATTAAAGAGCCACACCTAATCTATTCAAAGAAGTTGGTCCGCATCTGGAAAGATAAAGATTCTGACCTATTGTCCTTTAAAGATATAGTAGATGAATACATTCTTCTGTTAGGGTATATAGGGGTATAACAATTAATAATTGTTGGCCCATCTGGTAAGTATTATGAAGTTGAAGGAGATATAGGGATTAGATAACTTTTATGCCTTGTCTGTGATGAATTTAAGGTATTAAATGTCTATGTTGTAGATGAGTGTGAAGAAAGTGTTTGTGTCCCAAACATTATCAACCATATTGAGGCTTATATATCTCAAGTATTAGTTGGTACTGATGATAGTAGTAGTGAAGATGAAGATGAAGATCAGACAGGTTCTGATGGCCTGGCCTATGATTCTGAAGAGTTAGAACAATTTGAGGCTCAAAGGAAAAAGCATCCTAGTGAAAACCTTAATGAATACAAATAGATTTATAAAGGCATGTCTTTCAAGGACATTCCTGAAGCTAGAAAGTTCATGAACTTTTATTCATTGGTTAATCAAAAGAAATTAGAGTTGGTGAAAAGTGACAAAATTAGAGTGAGGTATAAGTGTGTATTGGGCTGCCCATTTAAATATCTTATTTCCATTAAAAAGGGCAATGAGGGGTGTAGAGTGAAGACACTAAATCCAAGACATGACTGTAATCCTGCTTTTGATAACGGTAGGGTTGAATATAGCACTATAGCTTACTACTTCAAGAAGAAGTTGCAAGACAACCTTAAGTATAAGGTGAAAGAAATGAGGGCAGACCTGAAGAATTCATTTCTACTTAATGCTAGTAAATCTAAGGTTAAAAAGGCAAAGAGAATGATATTGAAGAAGTTGGAATGGAGTTCTGCTGATGATTATAACAAGCTTGAAGCATATGCCAATGCTTTGAGGGACAGTAATCTTGGAAGTGATGCAGTTATTAATTTATCTAAAGAATCATTCTTGCAAGGCAAAAGAAAATTCTTTAGGATATACATTTGTTTTCATGCATTGAAGATGGGGTACAAAGAGGGCTTGAGACCATTTATTGGGCTTGATGGTACATTTTTAAAGGGGAAGGCTAAAGGACAGCTACTAGTTGTTGTTGGGCAAGATAACATGAATCACTTTTATCCACTTACTTGGGCTGTAGTTGATAGGGAAACAAAAAGAAGTTGGACTTGGTTTCTGGAGCTTTTTCACAATTCATTGGACTTGAATATGGGCAATGGAGTCACATTTATGTCGGATATGCAGAAGGTATAATTGTTTCTTTACTGTTTTTTGTCACAATTCTTTACTGTTTTTTACTAACTTTTCTTTATTGTTTCTTTACTGTTTTTTGTACATGGATTAATGGAGGCAATAAAGACAGTACATCCTGAAGCAAAGCATAGGTTCTGTGTGAGACATGTAGAGTCAAACTGGTGTAAAGAGTATAGAGGTCTTGAAATGAAGAAGTTACTTTGGTGGAGTGCTTGGGCCACTTATGAAGAAGACTTCAAGGATCAGTTGAGCAAGTTAGGACAATTGAAGGAAACATCTGTTACAGACCTGTTAAAGTACCCACCCCAGAGTTGGTATAGGGTATACTTTGACACTGTCTGTAAAAATCAAGGTGTGAATAATAATTTTACAGAATCTTTCAATTCTTGGATATTAGAAGCTATACAAGCCCATCATCAAAATGTTGGAAGATATAAGACTCAAAGTAATGAATCAGTTGAGAAATCATGAAGATGAGGTGAGAACATGGAAGACAAACTACAATCCTCAAAGCATGAAGCTTTATAATGACTATCTGAAGATAGCTCATTCCATTGAGGTTGATTTCAATGGTGATAATGGATTTGAAATAGTAGAAGGGGTTGACAAATTCATTGTCAATTTACAGGGGAAAAGATGCACATGTAGAGTATGAGATCTTTCAGGAATCCCATGTCCTCATGCAATAAGATCATGCTTGTATTTATAGGAAGACCCTTTGAAGGAGATGCACTAGTGATATAGCAAAGAATCCTTTCTACTTACTTATAAGCATAAGTTACAACCTATACCTGGTGAGAAATTCTGGAAACTAGATCCATCTCAAACCATGGAACCTCCAGAACTGGTGAAACAAGCTGGCAGGCCTAAAGTCAAAAAAGATAGACAAAAGGATGAGGCAATCAAGAGGCAAGGGGAGTGGAGTCAGTCTAGAAAAGGCAGAATTATGACTTGTGGCAATTGTGGAGAGGCAAACTATAATGCAAGGGGATGTAAAAAGGTATAGATCCAATACTTAGCAATGAACTTGTTATTATACTTAACTAATAGTAACTAATTTTTTTTACATTAAATAGCCAATGAATGTGCTGAAAGTGACAAAGAAGAAGCATCCATCAAGTGAAAATGATGGACAGACATCTAGGGCTAAGAAGCCAGCCAAAAGACAAAGGACTTTGATTAATGAAGACACTAATAATGATGAGGTATTGGCAGATATCAATTTATCAGCACCCCAAGTGTCCCAAACAAGTGAAGGCATTGGCAGCAGTCAATCATTTATCTTTATGCCTACTCCAACTCTGGATGCTTGTTCTGATTTTGATAATGGCCCTGAGCCTCCATTAAGGCCTAGTATTATATCAGAATCACAAACTAAACTTATAGAAAGACAGAAGGTTGGTATGAATATTGGGACAAAGACAATCAAGTTTACAATAGATAACACAGGTGTAAGTGAACCCGCTGATCTTCCCCAGTAAACTTGACATGGAAGGGAAAGGCAAAAATCACTGGGAATCAATTGGAGATGCAAACAAGACAAAGAATTGGTAAGTTGAAGACAAGAAAAGGGTCTTGATAATCTAATTAGGACTTGTTTTGTTAGTTGGTAGCTAAAGTGAAACTTAAACACTTGGTTTATTTTTGTTGGCATTTGGAGTTGGATTCCTTGTTATGACTAAGGTTGAGTGAGTTTTTGAAGTTATAGTTGTGGCATTCACTTCTCTAATTTGATGTAATAGGCAGAATTATGACTTGTTGAATTACTCTTACTGCCCAGTTTTTGTTACTATTACTGCCCAATTTTTGTGTCAGCTAGATACTACCCAGTTGTTACTCTTACTGCCCAATTTTTTTAGCCTTGTTGCCCAGTTTTTTTGGCCTTGCTGCCCAGTTTATGTTGCGACTTGTTATTGCTGTACTTAAGCAGTTTTTGTTGTGTTTGTTACTGCAGTCCTGAAGCAATACAAAATATTTGTTACTGTAGTCCTAAATTATTTGTTGTATTTGTTATCCTGAAGCAATACAATAATGTATTTTGTTGTATTTATTACTGCAATCCTGAAGTATTTGTTACTGCAGTCATGTATTTGTTACTCTTACTGCCTAGTTGTATTTGTTGCTTTCTTGGTTAACAATGACTTAACAAATTCAACATTAAACATCTAATGGAAACTGCCAGAATTATCATAAACAACATTCCAATAATCATTAAGTTAACAATGTCATTACAATACAAAATCCAACCATTAAACATCTAATATAAACTACCAACAAGTTCAACATTCTAATATTCAACTGTAGATACAACATTCCCCTTCTACAAACTAATTTCAACATAATTTCACTTCATTATAGAGGAGAATGCAAATCCAACTATTAGTGAGCATAAAATTGTGATGATCATCTTCAACTTCACCACTTTTACTTCCAATTCCATATTTGTTTACCTTCAAAATTCTTCATAGAATCTATGAGTTCAATTTTTTCAGCCAGCCCGTCTCTTTCAACCTTAAGAGCTTCCAAAAAAACATTCAACATCTTAATATCGCGATTTGTAGCTTCTAATCTTACATTGTTAATTGCAATTAAAGCAGCATTAGGATACTCTTCATCATGTCATTCCCAAAACCCACATCCTTCACTCTACACAAACCACAACAAAATCAATTTAAAGATTGAACACTATAAAGTTGGGAATTGTAACAGGAATCAAAATAGAGAAATAAAAACTACCTCATGTTTAGGACATTTGTAAAATCTTCTACCAGGGTTTAAGAGAGTTTTGAAGTAAAGTGATTAGCAACTTCCCCACATCGTGAGATCCTTTTCGACGAACAACTATTTTCCGACATTGTACAGCAGTTTCCGACCAGCTGAATACTTAGCAATGGGAGCGACGAAGAAGCCCAATAAATTTTGATGTTTTAATTGTGTTTTTACAGTAGATTTTTGATTTATGATTTTATCAGAATGGGAACGATGAAGAAGCCCTAGAATTTTGATGTTTTGTTTGTGTTTTTAAGGTGATTTTTGATTTACGGGTTTATGAGTCGGGCGGGCGAGGCAGTGGAATTGGGACGGGTTGGTTTTATTTAGCGTAGGTGATTCTTGGTCTTCTCAAAGCATACCACGTATCCCAGCCATTAAAATAGGGGCATATATAAAACTTTGTTAGACGATAAGGGCTTTAAGGGACGAAAAATATAATGGGAGATGGTATTGAACAATATGGCATAGTAGATGGGTATATCATGCCCTTTTTTGTTTAATAAATTAATGGATTAAACGGTAAGAACCTTAAAAGATAAACCGATAAAAATTTAAATTTGGAATCTGCCTTTGGTTCTAGTAGCACTTTTGAAGATAAGTTTTTCCATTGTATCCAATAAAAGTGGACCGAATAAAATAGGCAATAAGTATGCTATAAGCATTCCTTTTTTCTTTTCAAATTACCGAGTTTTGTGAAATTACGGTATGCCAAATTTATTACTAGGTGATTATTCACTAACATGGTTGTTACTTGTTAGTTTTCATCTTCACCAGATACTCTATGTAGTTGCGTTGACGAGATGCATCAATTAATCTGAGAAAATATTGGTTAGTATATTAATCTACACATAGTTTCTTCTATCACTCTAATATGGTTGTGTCATGACCCAAAATCTACTAAGGGTCGTGATGGCGCCGGACACCATTGTCAGGCAAGCCAACACTAAATAACTAGTAGTTTCTCGTTTTAGATATTTCTGAATTCACTTCTTTTATACATTTAAACAATAAGGAATAAATTTTCACTGAATAAATAATGATATTTTTAACAATTTCAAAATACTGACTACTTCCATAGACATCCCAGAACTCGGTGTCACAAGTGCATGAGCATTTACTAGGGAATGAAATAAAATACAGTAACTGTCCGAAATACGAGTGGACAGAAATGAAAATACAGTACAATACCCTGAAGGAGACTCTCTGGGCTACGGTCGTCTCGATAAATGCAACTCACCTAAATCAACCATGTCGTTATGCCACTAGCCACACATAAACCTGTGCAACAAAAATGCACAGCAAGTGTAGTATAAATACGAAAATAACGTGTACCCAATGAGTATCCCGTCTAATCTAGAAGAAGTAGAGACGAGAGGTCGACTTCGACACTTACTAATGGTCCAATAGTAATATATTATTAATGCGAGTAATCATGGAGTTATTAAGAACGACAATAATTTTAAATAAGTCACGAACAGGTAAAAGTTTCTTTTTATATTAAAAATCTACGGATTCATAATCTATTAATTTTCAATTATCTCAAGCCAGGGAGGGCAAATATCAATATCGATAAATCTCAAGGCAAGAAATACAAGCATGTACAAATCATGACGAGGACGTACGACCTGATCCAATAATATTTAAACTGTGCACTGCCAGAGGGTCGAATGATACAAACCGTAGATGCATCTATTTAATCTGACGAGGCGTTCGGCCCGTTCGGAAATTAAACACATACTGACAGTCAATCAAGAAGTCAACAGGGAACGAATATCCCAAGAAAGGCAAATTCTCTTTTAGCAGTTTTATAAAAAAATGAAGTTCAATCCTTTTAGAAATTCATTTACCAATTCGATAGGATTTAAGAAATTTATCTGTCAATAAAGTTATAAATATTCCAAGTATAGCATGCTTTTGGGTCCTAGACTACGTGGACTTATACATAATAGTAGCTACGCACGGACTCTCGTCACCTCTTACGTACATAGCCCCCACAAATAGGAGCACATAACCAATTATTTCACCTATGGGGACAATTCCCTCTTACAAGGTTAGAAAGGAGACTCACCTTGCCCCGAAGATCCATAACCGGCATTCCACGCCCTTCCAAAGACTCGATTCGATGCTAAATGCTTCAAAACTAGCCAATAATCATGCAAATCCATTACTATATGTTCAATTGCTCATCACAATCTAATTTATAACAATTCCTAAACCCGATAAAAAAGTTGACAAAATTGCCCTCAGGCCCACGTGCACGAATTCCAAAATTTTTTGAAGATAAAGTTTACCCATGAACTCACGAACTCAAATATATGATTTTCTCTTAATTTCATACCCAAAATCGTGCTCAAAATCCAAGAATACGAATTTTCTAGGTTTTCCTCAAATCCCCAAATTTCTACCAATTTACATGCAAAAATTCATACAAAATCAATGTATTTAACTCAAGATAGGTGGGGTTAGCTTACCTTGTCGTTGATGATGAAAACCCCCACTTGAAGCTCTCCAAAATTGCCCACACCAAATGATAATGGGAGAAAAATGGCCATCTCCCGATTTTAAAAGAATGCACTGCCTCCAGCCCTTTCAGCACATGCGGACTCCTCGCTGCTTCTACGGAGGCCCCATCGGACCTGCGCCAAAAACTGCTTCTGCGCTTGCGCAGATGCGGTCAATGCCCCGCACCTGCGGCCCTTCCTCTAGGCGTTCATGCTCCGCTTATGCACCTCCTATGCCGCTTCTGCGACTTCGCACCTGCGGCCCAAGCCTCGCAGGTGCGGTTACACCCGAAGGCAACTGATCATTTCTTATTTAACTTCCAAATTTGATCCGTTAACTACCTGAAATACACCCGAGGCCCCCGGAACCCCAACCAATCAT